TCTCTCTCTCTCTCTCTCTCTCTCTCTCTCTCTCTCTCTCTCTCTCTGGTGAGAGGAAGGTGTGTGTGGAGGAGCTGAGGAAGGGAGATCGTAAGAATTATCGCATATTCTAAATCTTTAACTTTTCCTTATCACTGTTTTCACTGGGTTTCATGTTATTTGTTTAAATTGTTATTTTGTGTTAGTTTCGCCACGTTTTAAGGTTTTTCTTTTTTGGTTTGGGTGTGGCCGTCAGGTGCACCTGGCTGGCCGGCGCCTAGACGCCATGGTGGTAGGAAGCACGGGGAACTTCTCCACGCTGACACGGAAGAACGGCATCAAGGTGGGTGCCGGTTCTTCGTGCAGCGTGGAGGAAGTTTGTTTGGCGGTGGGGGAGGTGGTTGGACACGGGTCCATTAAATCTGCAGCTCGCATGAACGGGGCTGTAGTGATTTTTGTCGACACCAAGGAGAAAGCACGGCAGCTGGTCGAGGCTGGCATATCAGTGGGAGACTTGTTTTTACAGGTGTCACCACTGATGCTGCCAGCCACGAAGATCACCTTGTCTAATGTCCCCCCGTTTATTAGTGACGAGTTCCTAATCAAGGAGTTGTCCAGACATGGGAAGGCAAGAAAATCTTGACGGGGTGTAAATCCCCCCTTCTCAAGCACGTTGTCTCTCACAGGAGACAACTGTTTATGATTCTTAATAAACGGGGGGAAGAATTCAACGTTAGGTTTCATGTAAAGCTTGACGATTTTGAATACCTCTTATTCGCGACTTCTGCAAATATGAAGTGTTTTGGATGTGGACAGGAGGGGCACGTGATAAAAATGTGTCCAAACAGAGCCGGGCCGGTTTCGCCCGCTGCTGCGGGGGACCCCCCGGCTGCCGCGGGTGCCCCGCCCGCTGCTGCTGCGGGGGGGTCCGCGGCTGCTGCGGGGGGTTCCGCGGCTGCCGCTGGTTCCTCTCCCGCTGCTGCTGCGGGGGGTTCCGCGGCTGCCACTGGTTCCCCTCCCGCTGCTGCTGCGGGGGGTTCCGCGGCTGCCGCTGGTTCCCCTCCCGCCGCTGCTGCGGAGGAGTTCGCGGCGCCCGCTGACAAGGTCTGTAATAGTGACGAGTTGCCAGCTGTGGGTGGGGGCACGGGTGTGTGTGGGGATGAGGGTGGCATCACGGAGGTGTGTGGTGGTGGTGGAGAGAACGGAGTTGTTGTGGAGGGTGGAAAGGAGGCTCGGGGGGAGGTGGGGGTGAACAACGGAGAACGAGAAATGCAGGAGGGCGATGAGGAGTTAGTGTGTGGTGATCGGGAGGAGAAAGTGGAGGTGGATGGAGAAATAAAAGGTGCAAGACAGAAAAGTGAGAGGTCAGGAGCTGGTGTGGAGGGGGAAGCAGGGGCTGTTATAGAGGATATGGAGTTGGGGGCCCCAACCCAGGTGAAGAGACGAGGTAAAAGAAAAAATACAGACGCTGCAGCACATGCCAGCAAACAACTCAGCAAAATAGCTGCAGAGGAGAAAGAGGGATCAGACAGCGACAGTGAGGGCTGGGGTTCTGATTTCAGTGAGTCCTCCCGTGCCTCACAAGCTGACAAAAGTGAACCAAGATACCCTGCGGAATTATTCCTCACCTTCCTACAACAAACCAAAGGGCTGAGAGGAGTCAAAATAGAAAGCCACTTCCCAAGCTTAAGGACTTTCTGCTCCTCAGCCAGGCATCACATCAGGCACAAACAGGAATCAGGCCTCACTGACCAACACGTTTACAGACTGAAGAAATTAATGAGCACAGCACGTAAACACTTCTGAACAATGACATACACACACGTTTTAATCATTTTTATAGTTTTATGGTACACGCTTCTTAACTTTTTACCCATGGATACTTTTAAAATAGCATCTTTAAACACAAACGGGGCAAGAGAAGTTTTGAAACGTGAATTTATTTATCAGACCATAAAC